CAAAAAAAAAAAAAAACAAAAAAAACAAAAAACGGACAAACAAAAAAAAAAACCATGTAGTGCATTTCGATTCGATTTCACTGCATGGTTTTTATTATGGGAGAAATTATCTTCATCTCGAATAAAAAATAATTGTAGATTTTTTCCCCGATCTTATWTTTACCTTTCAGTTTCATTCAAATCGTTCTCCCTGTGACTTTCGTATCGGGAGCTCCGCTTTTAGGCACTGCCTAAATATATATATATTAGAAAAATGGTCAATTTGTTCGAGCAAAGTTGAAAATGTCACCATGCTATGGCAGTTTACTTTTCCGCGCTGCTCTTGTGATTTCAGTTACATGATTATCGTGCTCTTTAAAAAGTTTAAAATATATATGAAATCCAGTTATTTTGAACTTGAAGTTGTCAGGCTCAAATGAAGAAATGTATGGCGTCCGGTCACGCGGCTATCGCGTTTACGGAGTAAAATCCAAATTTTGTCCTTTGACAATCACGAAATGACACGTGTTCATTCGGTTTATAAAAAAATGGAATCTAGAGAAGAATTTATTGGAAAATTAAATTAACTTCTTGTCACAAAAAAATGGCAGCCTTTTCAAAAAAGCACAGCGTTTTCCCAGTTTACACAAGATAGCCAAGAACTTAATATTTACGTCTTTGCTTGTTGGGTTCCTAGTTTATCGCGGCTCTTGGTGGCAAACGAAGCTCGAAACGCAGTCCCAAGAAAATATCCTACTTTCCCGCAGGGATTACAAGGGTAGGCTTAGGATTCGTTTAGGTTTTTTTGAAAGCCAGGCAATTTTGTGAAGCTATTTACAATTACATTTACCAGTTAGGTCATTCGCTCAACACAGCATTTTTTCTAGATTCGATACTAAAAAATATCAAGGAAAACCCTCGACTTATCGATTTACATATCCGTCTTTCGATGTGCAACCCACTATAAATATCGGTGAAAATGCGAGAAACGATTGATTGGTGAAATTTGTTTGAGACGGAAGCGATATCAATACAAATTCGCTTCATGGGAGAGAGAAAGTGTCGCACTTGACAGGGCAACTGTTTGGCATGAAACTGTTCTTATTGATTTTCCAAATACTTTATTTTATGCGTGCAATAAAAATCGTTTAACTTCGGTTAACATACATTTTTCTTGTTCATCCGATTTATCTGATTATTTTTGTCCGATTTATTTTTGAAGATTTCACACTTTTGTATATTTTGAACATTTACTTGTTATTCTAGTAAAGTTACGCTTTTTAGCGCTGCTGGCGAACTTCTCTGTAAAACGTCATCTTCTTTTTCATCGTCGGTCGCTTCATCCAAAGTCTTTAACTTGCTCATTAATGTATTCACAACAGGTGACTGATTTCTCTTTGTCAGCGTCCTATTTCCTGTATTATCAAGTGCTTTATTCCTTATATCATAAGAGCCCCTTCTAGCTTTACCCGGAGTTGAAATCTGTTTTGGTTGCTGATGACTCATGTTTAACTTTGCTATGACATTGATCGATCCTCGGCGAATCTTCGGAGAGGGAGACCACGACTGAGAACCCCTCCGAGAATCTCCCGAAGACGCCAGTGAAAGTCTTCGGTTCTGACCCGTTGAGATTCCTGCTGTTGCAATAGATCTTCGGCGAAAGGCACTATTTGTATTAAGGATATTATTTGTTGTTCTGGCTACGCTGAATCGACGATTTAGTAACGATCTTGGGTCTAATCCCGAACTGGGGAAAAAATCTAGTGTTTCTGAGAAATCGGAGCTTTCCGATGCTGTATCTTCGCTTGCTTCGGGTTCTACTATCACTGGTTTCGGCTTAATACCAGGACGAAAAGCACCCGAAAGCTGCCCTTCATAGTATTCAAATAACTTCCTCAGATTATCTCTGTGAGTTTTTTGAGATTTTCCTGTGACTGGAGCAGTGTGAGGTCTTGTTTTTTGTTCTATGTTTTCGTCAACATCAAGCGATCCCCGAGGCGACTCCTCTCTCATTTGTAGTTGTAAAGTCATAAAGAGTGGAGACTTTGAAGCTGATCGTATACTCTCTTCCGTTCGCTCCCATTCACCAGCAGTTTTAAAACAAACTTTGTCTCTTGCTTGCTTCGACGCTTTTCCTTCGGAAATCAGAATTCTGGCGCAAAGAAAGTGTCCGGCTTTCGAAGCACAGATAAGAGGAGTTTCTCCTCGCTTGTTGACTTTATCAACACTCAATTTAAACTTATTTAACGTTTTTATCAATAAATTCAATACCACGAAGTTGCCTGACGAAGCGGCGTAATGTAAAGCAGTGTTTCCTTCGTTGTCTGGCGAATTTAGATCAAATGTATGAGCTTCGTTGATCATTAATCCAACCAGCTGCTCGTGACCAAACTTACAAGCATACGAGAGAGCAGTCATGCCTGTCTTGTCTCTCAAGCTAACTTTCGCTCCATTTTGTAACAAAAGCTTCGCTATTTTAGCAGCTTTTGTCTCCTCTTCGAGAAAACAAACTTCCATTAGTGCTGTTCGCTTGTCAGGAGTTCTGGCGTTCACATCGATTGCCATATCGATAAGTAACTTTGCTTGATAAAATCGTTTGTTTTTGAGAGCTGAACAAAGGGCTGCCATAATTCACTGAAGTTACAGTAAATTGAATAAATCTAGACGAATTTAAAGCAAGGATTCGAAAAGAATATATTACAATAGGCCACGTCTTTATCACATCTTTATGAAACCGAGAAATGAAAGGAAAGAAAAAAGAAATCGCGAAAAGACGCTAAGACTGTAAACAGAGTGTTCAACATTAGCCAATCGTTTTGCGATTCATTGTATTTACCCAACTACTTGTCACTACGTAACTAGGGAAGAACGAAACAGAGTGTAGTCATAACACTGTATAAACAAAACAAAACTGCACCTGTTCAAACACTGTTTTCTTCAAACAAAACCTTAATATTTTTTGAACAAAATTATAGGCAACTGAAGCAAAGTTGGGTTCTTTGTTTCGCATTATTGTGGGTAAATGTAAAAGTTTTAAATTCAATCTAACTAAAACGCATAGTGAAAACGTAGAAAAGTACTATTAAAAATACGTTTTCCGGTGATTCTAAGTATTCTTAATTTCCTGCTGTCGTATTTGAATAAATAATATTGAATATGCAATAAAATTGTTTTGTGTTTAGTGTTCAAATTCCCAACGTTTTTCAATTTCATGTGTGATTTAGACTAATAGATTGAGACAAAGTATTTATATGTGTTTGAGGACAATAATATTGAGCATATAATCAATAAAAACTAGGAATTATTGAATAACGTCATTTTTCATGACGACTGATACATTCAAACTCAGGAACTTCATTTATTTTTGAGGTAGTAGRRACTTGTAGATAAATTGGATCACCRTAAAAAKCTTTGTGAAACTGAYGTTTCGGACGTTAGTCCTTCGTCGGAGTAAGCTTTTTACTGTAATCCAATTTATCCACAAGTTTCTGCTGTTTTATTCAGAAACACCGACGCAGTCCACGCTAGTYCTACTAGTTATCACCACTAATTTTGAGGTAGCTCTCTGTACTTTTTTACCACATTTTAATTCAAATTCGGAAAACAGTTTGTCCTGTCTTAACTGCTTTGGTCGATTGAATTTTCAGTACAATTTTTTTCAACTAAGAAGCTCAGCCATTTTAAAATATTGGACGTTACCACAGAAACGATAAACAAATACGCTTGAAATCACTTAATTCTAATATAAAAATGCTGTCTTCATTTTACATGTACCCGAAAAAAATTAAGTTAAGAAATATAAAATAATGTAACATTTTAGACACTCTAAAATCTTAGCACGTGAGATGCTGTGAGAGAACACAAGAAAAATGTAGAAAACCACGTTTCGAGAAGTAAAGCAGTTATATTTTTCATATATAATCAACTCTCGTTACAGCGGACATCGTCGGGAATGACACTCATTAGTCCGTAATAGCAAACGTCCACAATAGAGAGAATCAATTAAGGTCATTTCTTTGTCAGTATATTTTACACCGGGGATTTGGCTTCAGGTTTTGCTCGATCAAAAGCACAATCAGTTTCTCGTTTAATAAATTAAGGAAATAATGAAAAAATAATAATGATCGAGCGAGGTTTTGGTAAGCGAACACTCTCTGTTCTTTCATTTTCTTTCCGGCCTTAATTACAAGGGATTTTATAAATGTCTTCTACCCTCTCGAGGTTTTTTGAACGATAAGAGAAAAATGCAATGTTTTCCTGTAAAAATGGGTCCCACATGGAAAGAAACGGCTATGGATGCTAAGACATGACAGAGACCGGCGATATTTCGGGCTTACTGCTCATAGCAGGGGGGCAGAAATCTCCAGCGTAGCCGTACTCCATTAAAGTCGATTTCCAAAGCTCATTATAAATTTGCGCGAAAAAAGGAAAACCAAGAAAATACCAAGGAAAACTAGAGGAAATTATTTTTTTAAGCAAGCTTAATCCACATCATTAACTTTAACTTATATTAACTTAGACCTCTTTTAGAAATCCGCAGATGAAGCATCAGTTTTGTTAGTTTAAGTGGCCGGTAATTGCGGACAATACGACCTGGTTAATCAAGAAAAAAAAAAAAAAAAAAAAAGTAAATCCGTCTCCTTGGCTTAGCAAATCAAATTGGGAACTGGGGAGGCGTATCCTGGTGCACATGCGCATTTGAGGTGCTCCCTACGACTGACCACATTTCTAAGTCTTAAATAAAGATCCTTAAAATTCTATGGAACCCTAAATAAACTCTGAAACGAGGGCCTTAAAAGTGAACTTCTAAATTCTAATTCAATCTTTTGCTTTCACCTAATACGGAGCATAGGGTTCTGTTGGTATTTTCTCACGCTGTGATATAACAGGGAAAACTAGTTCTCCATTTTCACATCCCAATAAAGCATGTAGGGGTTTGGGGAGAAAACGAAAGAAAAAAAAGCCCTCGCATATTATAGTAAAGACTGCATTTTCATAGTTTAGATTCCAAGTTCAAACTTCATCTACAAAACTGCCTTTTTGCCTGGCAGAGAAAACGGCTGATTGATTTGTTTCCGGCGCGCATCGTAGTTGACTAGGACTCTTTAAAGAGAACCATTCGTAACAGCGGAAAAGCCTTCAAATTTCATCGATTCCTGCGAGCCATGCCACACGACGCAATAATGTATTGCACGCAATGTTGCTGAAATAGGTAACGATCCTTCTTCAGCAGGGCCAGGTTCTCCGAAGCGTGTTCTTAATTAAACAAAAGCGGTGAGAAATTCGGTATAAAAAATCGCATGCGCACTGAAAACAATCGTTAAACTATGAACTGGCTTATTTCCTCAATCTCAATATAATCTTCGGGACACGATTGCAAATCCTACATACGTGTCGTACTAATTTCCTCTCTCTTTAGTTTCTTTAAAGTAGCTAGAATAAACACTTAAGAATTAAAAGTAAATGTTTTCTTCAAAGTAAGCTTCAAAAACATGTTGCCGTGCAAATTTATGACGAACTTTGGTAATCGACTTTAAAGAATATTCTTCGCAATTACCGGCCACTAAATTGACAAAACTGATGTTTCATCTCCGGATTTCTAAAAGAGGTCAAAGTTAATATACGTTAAAGTTAATAATATGGATTAAGTTTGCTAAAAAAAAAACAATTCCCTCTAGTTTTCCTTGGTATTTCCTTTGTTTTCCTTTTTTCGCGCAAATTTATGATGAGCTTTTGAGATCGACTTTAGATTATATTCTCCGCAATTATCGGCCCCTGTTTTGGACTCCCTCGGTTACGCCTCGTGAGTCCACAACATTTTGAAGGCTAGATGACGAAAATCATGTTAAACAAGAGAACATAACACGGATCAAAAACAGGAAGAGTTGGTTAAATTTTTATTCATTACGAATATTAGCCTTGTTATCATCTTTAATGGTTTAATTATTTGAAGTCCACTTAGCTTTGAACCTCATTTCCTGTAGTTTTGCTGCTTTTATTTGAAATGAGTTTATGAATTATGACAAATCTTTATCGCGCTACGTACGGTGTGACATTTGAAAGGAAAAAATTAATAGATAAATGAGTTTAAACATTGTTTTCACATCGATATTAGCAAAGTTTTGTAGCGATAAAAATAGATAAAAAATGRCGAAATTTCAAATGATGGAAATCATGATTTTTTTTTACACACAGATCGGTTTTTTACACACGGATGGTTTTTTATTCTAATATTGGGATTTATTGCTCTTTCCTAGAATGTGAAGACTCAGACACAAGCAGCCCAATCTCTCGGTTTTTGTCTGTATGAATATTGCGAAAAAACGATATTTAAGTCTATTTATGTTTATCTTTTTTTGGTTGTTATTTGTACGGACAAAAAGCCTAGCTTATTTCAAGGTTTTTCTTACCTCATATTCCCCCACGTCTTTTTTTCGTATAAATAACAACTACAACAGRCACAAGAAGTTCCATATGATTTTATTACAAATAAGAAATAATTCATCATTTTAAAATCGATATCAGGGAGTCTTCATATGCTCACCTATTTAATTAAACGTTGTCGGTTGGAGCACTGAAATCTGATGGCAGGTAATTCAACACGCTTAAATGTTAAATAGATTCACTACCGAATAAGGTACGTAGTTCCCCTTWAGATTGCAATATGAGGCATGGTCTTTGAGTTAGAAATGTAATTTTTTCTTTGTAGTTTCTTAACCAGAAAATATAAAAGCACAAACATTCAATTTAACTAAGACTTTGAAGTCAAACGCTTTTTAGATTAAAAATCTCGAGACTCAGAACAATTAAACTATGTCGGAGCACTGACGTATAGGATAATAGCGTTACGCAACTCGCCAATAATGAAAGAAAAACGAACTTAAAATGATTGACTAGTTTGAAAATATATTAATCAACTATTAATGAAGAAATAATCAAATCGACTTTACTAAATAGGATTTTACATGTTAAATGCGAAGTTTTGCCATATAGATATGATGATTAATAATTATGATAGAAGCATTACATGTTTTTCTTAAGGACAACACTGAGTCTTGGCGCAATTCAAAAAACATTATTTGCGAAAAAAGAAAGCCTTTACGTTTTGCCTCAGGGAAGCATCCTTCCATGCGATWGCTACTGATAACTGGGAAAAATGAATATAAACTATGAATATTAATGTGTTTGCGTATTGATGGGTTSCAAGCATTCCCAAGAGAGTTAAAAGAYAAAAACATGGYRGCCATTGTGGTAMCGTTATCAATGGATGCTAATGAGAAATCTTTTGTTAAATGGTACCAACATGTCCGCGATGACGTAACGTGCAAACGAAGAATTTCGTCATGCACATGTTCATCACTTGTAATGCTATCAGAATGTTGCCAAACAGTCTCAAACCAATTTTTGAAAAATATGACAATTTAGAAGATGTGGGCAGACAATTTGATACGTTTTACAACTTGTCAAAAAGTTGTGAACATTAAATAAATCATTTATATCGACTATCTAATTTACCTTGATAGGTCTTATCGGGAAGTTTAAAATGATATGTTCCAATCAGTGCTCTAGCAGGAGCCATATGGTCATATTAATGAGCAACAATCATTATAATTTTGTTCTAATGTAAGACATATTTCTATTACCTAAAAGATCAAACCTTCAAGGAGGGTTCCGTGGACCCCTTCGACCCCCCCCCCCTCCCCCCCTGGATCCGCCACTGATGATAACGTTCACCATATATGATCGGTAATTAGTACCGTATTCACTAAAGTGCTTTCCTAATCGCATGCTGACCCCCTCTGTTTCCACGAGCGAATGTTCACAGGTTTTTCTGAACTGCAGCAGAAGAACAAAATTCAGGTGAGAAATATAATCTAGTGTTATTTTGAACAAAAACCTTTATTTTAATTTTCTTCTCAAAACCGGTTAAAAATAGCGTCCAATTTATTTTGACAACCTTGCACGGTGAGCATTTTCCCCAGCTATACCAATTTATCATAGGCATGCACAATCTAAAATGGATKGGATTTTATATAACGCTACAGGTTTGGACGGCAAAAAGCCTAACAAGTCTAAACCCCACTCAACAAGGCAGAATCTCAGCTGATTTCAGATTAGGAAAATGATACATCGTATTTTTACGTCAATATAATAGACTGTCTTTTGCAGCACTAACGGTAAAGTTACAGTAATAGTGAAATTCAGTCTGGAATAGCGGATTCTTTATGGYGAAGATAAGAGACGCCTTCATTATTTCCCAAGCGTTTAACCGACGCATRTGATAAAAACGARGTGCCTTTTAAATATATATTCTAAATAACGAACGAACAAAAGCTAGCTTCATTTGTCTTATCACCTAAAGAATAAGGCTATCTTTCCTTCTACAAAACTATATAATAATGATACGAAAATATTTAAAACTGAAAAAAAAAAAAAGAAAAGAAATCCAGCGAATCTATTAAACTTAAATTTAAGAACTTGTATGATATCCTATATATTTATAATTTTTAATTTATGAATTTATATATTCATGCATTAGATCTGCCTGGCAGCAGTGTCTGATGGAAAACCAATGTCCATAAGAACACCTTGCACAGGAGCTATCGTTGACAAACGTTTAGAAAATTTCAGTTTTACTAGGTAAACATTTGATYTTCATTAATTTATAAATAACTCAGGACTGAATCTATTTTGGTTTTCTAGAGTCTTTTGAGGCAATGTTATCATAGTGTTACACTCCCCTGGCTTGTATCGCAAATTCTATATTTAAAAATCATTCTTCGAAGGCGAAGTAAATATCGGGGAATATTTATTTACCGAGACGTGAGTCTTTTAGAATTTTTAACACAAGTGAATTTAGGAAATAATAAGGAGAGATTTATTTTTCAAATTTTATTTATCTCTGCAAGCAGCACAAATTGACAAACGAGCGTGCCCGTGCGCAAGTTATATTAATTCACTGTAGGTGAATATAGCAGCATGAGACGTAAATTGTGACCAATGAGCGCGCCGGATTTATTATATTCATTTGTGTAAAATATTGGCAAAAAATCTCGTCATAAAAATGAAACTCATCATTACTATTAAACACCACAGCAAGTAAAGCATTTGTTGGCGCAACTCAACAGGGTAGAACTGAAAACATGTGAAGGCGCCGTTGGCAGCCGTCATACAGTCACGTCCTTGCATGACCGTATCTCGGTAGCACAGCTCATACCAGCATGAACCGCGAAGCGATAATTATGATCATCGGTTTTCCCGATAAAAATTTGGTAGAATTTCAAATTCAAACAATGAATTTTACTTGAAAAAATAATAATAATAATAAACTTATTTATAAGATTTTTATTATATACAACATAAAATCAGTAACCAGCTTGGGTTCCTGTATCCACTAATTCCGAGAACTAATATCCAAACCACATTTCGTATTAATCATCTAAGGCATTTTTTGTAAAACCTCTTAATCTCTTAGGYTTTTGGTCTAAAAATTATCTTACAAATTGCCAAAACCTTAACTGGATTTATGGAACCACCGATTCAAATTCAAATACGGTTTCCACCAAGAAAACCAAGTTGGCSGTAAAATGTGGCACCATCTATAGACAGCTGACACTGATGAACTTTGCATTAAGGTATCAGGGTACCCCTAGCGACCATTTTGCATTCAACTCTTAATAGCGCAAAACCTTTTAATCGAAACCTCAACAAAGTATACATTTTCTGAAAGCTGAATAAATGTAGAAACCGCTCCACTTTTCCTTTTTGTAAAATACATTTATCCTTTTAAGTTAGAGCGAATTATTCAAATTTTCACCGTGGCATCTTCGCGGCGGTTCGATGACAGCCGGTAATGATCGGAAACCAATGCTTATTACCTTTCCGAGATCACAAGACATCACTTGTCAAAATTGTCTTCGATTTTTGATTAGTTGCCCCGTTGCTTTTTTATACGCTCTTAAAGTTATGACGCTGCTATATCACCTGTATGTAAGCCAAAATC